AGGCGCAGCTGGTGGAGAAGGCGAGGAAGTGGGACCAGCTTAACTCGAAGAGGTATGGAGATAAGAGGAAGTTTGGGTTCGTCGAGACTCAGAAGGAGGACATGCCCCCTGAGCACGTGAGAAAGATTATTAGGTAAGATATTTTGTTGTCTTTGAACTGTTATTTTGATTGTTTTTTTGTGTTGAATTGTTAGAGGCTTTAGTTTAAGTTCAGTTGCAAAACCCTAGATTCAATTTCAAGCGCAGAAAGCTGGATTGAAGTGTGTAAAACCCTAATTTCATCACAGGTGCAGTGTTAATACTCTTACAGTTGGGTTGTAAAACCCTAATTTGTTGAATATTCTACGGAGGATTGCGCGTTGAAGTCTGGAATCTGACAAAAAAATTGTTGAATCAGTCAAAAGAGCAATTATTTTTTGCTCAATTGCCCCATAGTTGGCCCCTGTAGATTGTGTCCAGAAATAAGTTCTCCAGTCGAGGTCTAGAGTTGTTTGTGGTCTTATAGATGAATTCTACTAATTGTAGTATTATTTTTAATTATTGAATTGCATAGAAATAGCATGTTTTTATTGAATTACTTTCCTTCAATCTATTATGTGGAAGTTCTGCCTAACTAAGGTGTTCAGAAATTTCATGCGCGTAGAGTCTCTTTTCAGACAATAAGCTTCACTTCCATTGCATTCATGGAATAGCTACTAGGCACCATACTTTGGTTTCGGAATTTGATCAAGATTGCAACAGTACAAGATTTTTTTCTCTTTCAAATTTTAACTGTTAGCTTATTCTTTATTTAGGGATCATGGAGACATGTCTTCAAAGAAGTATCGTCATGACAAGCGTGTATATCTTGGTGCTCTGAAGTTTGTTCCTCATGCAGTGTACAAGCTGCTCGAGAACATGCCTATGCCATGGGAGCAGGTAAGTATCATATTTGTTTGATTCTCCTATAGTGCCTTCAAATATTATATCATTAGATGGATTCATCATGCAAAATCTGATTCTTTTTTTTCCTTGACTTTGTAGGTTCGCAATGTGAAGATTCTATATCACATCACTGGTGCAATCACATTTGTCAATGAGATTCCCTGGGTTGTTGAACCCATATATCTGGCACAAGTAAGCATTATGATATTAGTTATTTCCCTTTACGAGCAATTTGAAATATCAAAGTGTATGCATCTCGTTTCTTATTTAGTCATAACTTTTAGAATCCTCGGCATAATAACTAAAAAGGGTAGACTTCAGTGCGCACCTAATTTGCCTTTCAGATTATAAGCTATATGTTTAGAAGCCGGTGGTCTAGTTATGGGCCTTATTGGTGCCTCATTTTAGGGAAGATCTGCGTTGAAATTTGTGTTTTTAAATATGATGTCATTCCTTCAAGAAATTAATCTCTCGTTCTGCTTGTGCATTGCAGTGGGGTACAATGTGGATCATGATGAGGAGAGAGAAAAGAGATCGGAGGCACTTCAAACGAATGCGATTTCCCCCTTTTGATGATGAAGAACCTCCTCTGGATTATGCAGACAATTTACTAGATGTTGATCCATTGGAGGCAATACAGCTAGAGTTGGACGAGGAAGAGGACTCTGCCGTGTGCAACTGGTTTTATGACCATAAGCCTCTTGTAAAAACAAAGCTTATAAATGGCCCTAGCTACAGGAAATGGCATCTCTCACTTCCGATCATGGCGACTCTTCATCGGCTTGCAGGACAATTGCTCTCTGATTTGATTGATCGCAACTACTTCTACTTGTTTGACATGGAGTCCTTCTTCACTGCTAAAGCATTGAACATGTGCATACCTGGTATGCTTCTCTTCCTTTATTTTTGCGTATCGCAACCTATGAACTCTCTTTTAGTTGGGTATCTTGAAGCAGTTGATAACTTGTTACAACTACAGCGTCAACATTTACACTTAACCTCTTTAGTAGATACATTTTCACTAGTAGATCCATTTCATCAAACCTGTTCAGAAATTTGATAAGATGAACTTTTTGTCATTATTGTGAATTACTATCATTGGTTATTTTATTATATTTGGACTGGGAAATTGATGATTCCCTTTTCACCTCACAAGATAAGTTTAGATTCATTTAACATTGTTGTTGAATATTCACTAGATAGAGGTATTTTGCTCTTTACGTGAATTGGTTTGATAATGGGATTGTGTTCGGTTTCAACTAAAGAAGGTTTTTCTCCTTGTGTTTTGCAGGAGGTCCCAAGTTTGAGCCCTTGTATCGTGATATGGAGAAAGGAGATGAAGACTGGAATGAGTTTAATGACATCAATAAACTCATTATTCGTCAGCCACTCAGGACAGAGTACAGAATCGCCTTTCCTCATCTATACAATAATCGGCCCAGGAAAGTAAAACTTGGCATATACCATACGCCGATGATAATGTACATAAAAACTGAGGACCCTGATCTACCTGCATTCTACTATGATCCTCTGATAAATCCTATAACTTCCATCAACAAAGCGGATCGCCGGGAGAAGAAAGCTTATGATGAAGAAGATGAGGATGATTTTGAACTACCAGAGGGTGTAGAACCTCTGCTGCAGAGTACACAACTTTATACTGATACTACAGCTGCAGGTATCTCATTATTGTTTGCTCCTCGCCCATTCAATATGAGATCTGGCCGGATGCGTCGTGCTGAAGACATTCCTCTTGTGTCAGAGTGGTTCAAGGAGCACTGGTAAGATTCAATTATTGTATTTGTTAGACTTCTAAGATTTAATTTTTTGTCTTTGTTAGACTTCAGTCGTCCATTACTCTGGAATCTTTTTTCCCCCTCTGTTTATTAGACATTAACTTCTTGTTATGTGGTGTTAATTGCAATTCATTTGCAGCCCTCCATCATATCCAGTTAAAGTTCGTGTCAGCTATCAAAAGCTGTTAAAGTGCTTTGTATTGAATGAGCTGCACCACAGACCTCCAAAGGCACAGAAAAAGAAACATCTCTTTAGGTCTCTTCAAGCAACAAAGTTTTTTCAGACTACGGAGTTGGACTGGGCTGAAGCGGGTCTCCAAGTCTGTAAGCAGGGTTACAACATGCTAAATCTGTTGATTCATAGGAAAAATCTCAACTATCTTCACCTTGACTACAATTTCAATCTGAAACCTGTGAAGACACTAACCACTAAAGAGCGCAAGAAGTCACGATTTGGAAATGCTTTTCATCTATGTCGTGAGATTTTGCGTTTGACAAAGCTTGTTGTCGATGCCAATATCCAATTCCGCTTGGGTAATGTGGACGCTTTTCAGTTGGCTGATGGCCTGCAGTATACCTTTTCACATGTTGGACAGTTAACTGGAATGTACCGTTACAAATATAGGCTCATGCGGCAAATCAGAATGTGCAAAGATTTGAAGCACTTAATTTACTACCGTTTCAATACGGGCCCAGTGGGGAAGGGACCTGGTTGTGGATTTTGGGCACCTATGTGGAGAGTCTGGTTATTTTTTCTCCGTGGCATTGTTCCTTTGCTAGAAAGGTGGCTGGGTAATTTGCTTGCACGACAGTTTGAAGGACGCCATTCTAAAGGAGTTGCCAAAACTGTTACCAAGCAACGGGTGGAGAGCCACTTTGATTTGGAACTTCGAGCTGCTGTGATGCATGATGTTCTCGATGCAATGCCAGGTAAAGGCAGCAACTTACTTTGACTTAGATGTTTCATATTGACCTACTATTCAATAGCATGTTGTAGAAGTTCAGGATCTAAGTCACTTTTACGTGATTACTGAGATAAAATTGCTAAGAGTAAACACTGCGGTAGCATGATTACTAGATACTACTAGATAGCTTAATTTCCGTTCAACTAGAACTCTAGAAATATTATAACAAACTCGGATATTTTAAGTCTGAATTTCTTGCAGAGGGCATCAAGCAAAACAAAGCTAGAACTATACTTCAGCACCTTAGTGAAGCATGGCGTTGCTGGAAAGCAAACATCCCTTGGAAGGTATTAGGAGTTTCTTTTTTTTTTGTTCTTTTTTTTTCCGTTTTTGTTACTGGTGTTTGGTTAGCTCATTTGCAGTTCTCTGCAGGTTCCTGGCCTGCCAGTCCCCATTGAGAATATGATTCTTCGATATGTAAAATCCAAGGCAGATTGGTGGACCAATGTTGCACACTATAATCGTGAGCGTATTAGAAGGGGTGCAACAGTTGATAAGACTGTTTGCCGGAAGAATCTAGGAAGACTTACTCGTCTCTGGTTAAAGGCTGAGCAGGTAACAATATTTGCTACTGTATGAACTATTAGTGAGTCTCTGTAAAGGCATCTTACAATAATGTCATTATTTAATTTCTTTTTGTTTATCATAATCTGCAATATTTCTTAAGTTTTCTCCTGCGTTTAAAGCAGATTCAAGATTTGTTTATGACGTGTCTTTATAGGCATTGTTTTAGGAGGAAATACTCTTCTAAGCATGTTAATTCTCATCCTATCATGTTCATCCTTGTAGGAGAGACAACATAATTATTTGAAAGATGGTCCATATGTTACTCCTGAAGAAGCTGTGGCCATCTACACAACAACTGTGCATTGGTTGGAATCAAGAAAATTCTCTCCTATACCTTTCCCTCCACTGTCATACAAGCATGATACTAAGCTACTCATCCTTGCTCTGGAAAGGCTGAAAGAATCATACAGTGTGGCGGTGAGATTGAACCAGTTACAAAGGGAAGAACTGGGTCTTATTGAACAGGCGTATGATAACCCTCATGAAGCTTTGTCAAGGATAAAGCGTCATTTACTCACGCAACGGGCCTTCAAAGAAGTAAGTTCAGTTCATGCCAGGGGTTGTTTATTAGATTGTTTCAACTTTTAATTTGGTTTTCCATTGTTTGACTTATTATTATTTTTCAGGTTGGCATCGAGTTCATGGATTTGTATAGCTATCTGATTCCTGTATATGAGATTGAGCCTCTAGAGAAAATAACAGATGCCTACCTAGATCAGTATCTATGGTATGAAGGTGACAAGAGACACCTTTTCCCAAATTGGATTAAACCTGCTGATTCAGAACCACCGCCTCTACTTGTATATAAATGGTGCCAAGGTATCAATAACTTACAGGGCGTATGGGATACGAGTGACGGGCAGTGTGTTGTGATGCTTCAAACAAAGTTCGAGAAGTTCTTTGAGAAGATTGATTTGACAATGTTGAACAGGTAATATTTTTTGTGTATCTTCTATAAGTATAATAATTCTTTTGAGTGCGTCATGCTGATAGATAATTTGTATCCATTTGCAGGCTTCTAAGGTTGGTGCTTGATCACAACATTGCAGACTACGTGACTGCTAAAAACAATGTGGTGTTATCTTACAAGGATATGAGTCACACAAACTCATATGGTCTCATTCGTGGCCTGCAATTTGCCTCTTTTGTAGTTCAATATTATGGGCTGGTACTTGACCTCTTGCTTCTTGGGTTAACTCGAGCCAGTGAAATTGCGGGGCCACCTCAGATGCCGAATGAATTCATCACTTATGCAGACACAAAAATTGAAACTAGGCATCCTATCAGGCTATATTCACGATATATCGACAGGGTCCACATACTTTTCCGGTTCACACATGAAGAGGCACGTGATCTCATTCAGCGATACCTCTCTGAGCACCCTGATCCAAATAATGAAAATATGGTTGGGTATAATAACAAAAAGTGCTGGCCTAGAGATGCAAGAATGAGGCTTATGAAACATGATGGTAATTTTCTTCTCTACATCTTTTTCTTATTTGTTTCCTTTAATCGTATTGCTAAGTTGTTCTTGGCTGTAGGTTAGCTTTGCAGTTGTCATAAGATCAGCATTGACAAATTTGTATTTTTTTGCAGTCAACCTAGGCAGAAGTGTCTTCTGGGATATGAAAAATCGACTTCCTCGAAGTATCACAACATTAGAGTGGGAAAATAGCTTTGTCTCCGTTTACAGCAAGGACAATCCGAACTTGCTTTTCAGCATGTAAGTATAACTTCTTGCATCTCATTAGATTATGACACTGATTTCAAACTTGTGTTTTGTTTTGTATTCATCCTATTCATAGTACTACTGGGCATAGTGCTATTATTCCTTAGGAAATAGTGAGGATTCGATCTAAGTTTTTCAAACAGTTGTTGGTCACCTACTAACTTTCCTGGTTGTATATGTTTAGTAATCTTCTACTCCGCATGTATGCTAGTCACCACATCCCCAAGTAAGGGACACTGATCAGGGAAAAAGCAGTTAGCTATTGATCTTAATCATATCAGGGAGCATATACTAGAAACTTAATCCCGAATAAGTTATTTTGTGAAACTTGATTATCTTTTTATTCATTTCCTTAGAACTTCTGGATTTAATTTCCATATACTGCTCGGTCTGGATATTTTAGAAAGCCGTTATTGCATTACTAAGTTCTGGAAAATGTTAAATTCTTAGATGAAAACTTATCGAAATCTCTCTTATTTTATACCAAATTGACTGTTGGTTATTGTTTGCTCATTTATGCACTTATTACGTGTTTGATACTGTTTCCGCTAATTTGGTTGCTTCTGTCTGCAGCTATGTCACCCTAGCCTTATTTAGATTATTCTATGGTTTTTTAAAGAACTTATTGCAGCCTTTTTGCTTACAAGATTGTTTAGCATGCCACTTTAGATTTGTTTCTATGCTTTCGGCCTATAGGAGTATATCCATACTCATTTAAATTTTTTGGACAAGGAGATAAGACCAGCCCTCTTTTTTGGTGGACTATGTACATTAACATGCTTAGTATCTTTTACTATTGCATTCAATTAAATTTCTTTTCCCCTTTAGGTGTGGTTTTGAAGACTATGTACATTAACATGCTTAGTATCTTTTACCATTGCGTTCATTTAAATTTCTTTGCTCCTTTAGGTGTGGTTTTGAAGTTCGTATATTGCCAAAGGTGAGGATGACCCAGGAGGCATTTAGCAACACAAAAGATGGTGTTTGGAATCTGCAGAACGAGCAGACAAAAGAGAGAACAGCAATAGCCTTTTTACGTGTTGATGATGAGCACATGAAGGTGTTTGAGAATCGTGTGAGACAGATTCTTATGTCATCAGGATCAACAACATTTACCAAAATTGTCAACAAATGGAACACTGCTCTTATTGGTAAGTTACTTGTAATCCTCATTTGTCTGTTTTGCTGATTTGGGCGTTATTTGTTAGTTTAATCGTTAGGTGGTTATGTATACATCATTTTGATTATTTTCCCCTCTTTATTTCTCTCCAGGCCTTATGACATATTTTCGTGAAGCAACTGTTCATACACAAGAACTTTTGGATCTGCTGGTTAAGTGCGAAAACAAGATTCAGACTCGTATTAAGATCGGGCTGAATTCAAAGATGCCTAGCAGGTAGTTATTTTAATCAAAGAGTACAATATTTCTATCAATGTGATGAAGATTTTACCCACCTGTTCTGATGTGTTGTTTCATCGACAGGTTTCCTCCTGTTATTTTTTATACGCCTAAGGAAATAGGAGGTCTTGGCATGTTATCCATGGGTCACATATTGATTCCACAGAGTGATCTTCGGTACAGCCAGCAGACAGATGTAGGGGTGACACACTTCCGAAGTGGTATGAGCCATGAGGAAGATCAACTCATTCCAAATCTTTATCGGTACATTCAGGTGAGTTATCAATTTCACTTTGTTTTATTTCATACTATTGTGTTTTAGCATGTTTCTTTGATTTTCATTAATCTTTTGTTTTTATTTTTAGCCATGGGAGAGCGAATTTATCGACTCACAGCGTGTTTGGGCTGAATATGCATTGAAGAGGCAGGAAGCCCAATCACAAAATAGGCGACTAACGCTTGAAGATCTTGAGGTAAGTCCCTTGTTTTTTTTCCGTTATTTATTTTCATTCATGCCCCAACTTTTGTGCGACATCAGTAGTAAGACTTTGAGTAGTTGAAATCATACACAAAGGGTTGGCCTGAAACAAATTTCCCCCTTTTTCAGGGAAAAATATAAAACATACATGCATCTGTACATACATATATACATACACACATGCGGGTGTGTGTGTGTAAATATACATATGTGTAATGTGTGATATATGTACATCTGCGTGCTTGCCTATGGGACATATATGTATCTCGGTGTGTGTATGGCTATTTTTGTTTGTTCTCTCGCATGCATTTTTTGTCCAATTTCTGAACTAGTTAGGCTCCTGAACTTACTTGTATTTGGCATGTCATACCTCAACCTTCCTTTACTGGGGTGTGCAGCCAAACATTTTGTTAACAGATCTAACCTGGTTAGTACACAATCGTTGGATAAGCATTTAATGCTTTTTCTTTTGTCTTCATGGGCATGTTGCATATTGTAAAAGATGGTAATTTTTTTAATTAAAAAAATTCATAAATCTAAGAACTGATTATGTATATAATAATTGACAGGATTCATGGGATAGGGGGATACCAAGAATTAACACTCTGTTCCAGAAAGACCGACACACCCTGGCTTATGACAAAGGTTGGAGAGTCCGCACTGACTTTAAGCAGTATCAAGTTCTAAAACAAAATCCATTTTGGTGGACTCATCAGCGCCATGATGGCAAGTTGTGGAATCTAAATAATTATCGGACTGATGTCATCCAAGCACTTGGAGGAGTTGAAGGAATTTTGGAGCATACTTTGTTCAAAGGGACATAGTAAGTTAATCTTAAATAGGGCAGTTATTTTCTTAGCTAGATTTTCTGTTTCACACTGTAGTTCTTATTTTCATCTGGTGAATGAGTCTATCATTTTATAAGTAGCTGATTGTGATTTATACTATTTCAGTTTTCCGACCTGGGAAGGTCTTTTCTGGGAAAAGGCATCTGGATTTGAGGAGTCAATGAAATATAAAAAGCTGACAAATGCTCAAAGGTCTGGGTTGAATCAAATACCTAATCGTAGGTTCACCCTTTGGTGGTCTCCTACCATAAACCGTGCAAATGTTTATGTAGGATTCCAAGTTCAACTAGACCTTACAGGAATATTCATGCATGGAAAAATTCCTACTTTGAAGATATCATTGATTCAGATATTTCGTGCCCATCTTTGGCAAAAGGTGCATGAGAGTGTTGTCATGGATCTCTGCCAAGTTTTGGATCAAGAGCTAGATGCATTGGAAATTGAGACAGTGCAGAAGGAGACCATACACCCAAGAAAGAGTTACAAGATGAACAGTTCTTGTGCTGATATTCTCCTCTTTGCTGCTCATAGATGGCCAATGTCTAAACCTAGTCTAGTTGCTGAGTCGAAGGATGTATTTGACCAGAAGGCTAGTAATAAATACTGGATAGATGTGCAACTTCGGTGGGGCGATTATGATTCACATGATATAGAACGTTATACAAGGGCCAAATTTATGGACTACACAACTGATAACATGTCTATTTATCCTTCTCCAACAGGTATCACTTTGACTTCACTTTTCTGGATAGAAGTTCTAGTTAAATGGCCCTATTCTTGCTTGAAGTTTTGATAGATCTCACTTGAAATTCTAATAACATAACTATTACTTTCTTGCTCAGGTGTAATGATTGGGCTCGATCTTGCATATAACTTGCACTCTGCTTTTGGCAACTGGTTCCCGGGGTCAAAGCCCTTATTGGCTCAAGCAATGAACAAAATTATGAAGGTATGTTTTGTACTTAATATGCTCAATTATTTTGTATTTAATAATATTATTTTAGAGAAACACAATTATATAGTCATTGACTGGTTTTTCTGATGATTTAATGCTTATCTACAGTCAAATCCAGCTTTATATGTTTTGCGTGAGAGAATAAGGAAAGGGCTGCAGCTATATTCGTCTGAGCCTACAGAGCCATATTTGTCATCTCAAAATTATGGGGAGATCTTCAGCAATCAAATTATATGGTTTGTTGATGACACAAATGTCTATCGGGTGACAATCCACAAAACCTTTGAGGGAAATCTCACCACCAAGCCAATCAATGGTGCCATCTTTATATTCAACCCAAGAACAGGGCAACTGTTTTTGAAGGTTGTGCTGATTTTAATATTTATTTAAGTTATTTGGCTTTTATCTTCATAGAATCACCTTACTGATGTTATATCTTGCAGGTCATCCACACCAGTGTCTGGGCAGGGCAGAAGCGTCTAGGTCAGCTAGCCAAGTGGAAAACAGCAGAGGAGGTGGCTGCTCTTGTACGCTCTCTTCCTGTTGAAGAGCAGCCAAAACAAATTATTGTGACCCGTAAGGGAATGTTGGATCCCTTGGAGGTCCATTTGCTTGATTTCCCTAACATTGTAATCAAGGGTAGTGAGCTGCAGTTGCCATTCCAAGCTTGTTTGAAGATTGAGAAGTTTGGTGACTTGATTCTGAAGGCTACAGAACCCCAGATGGTTCTTTTCAATATTTATGATGATTGGTTAAAGAGTATTTCGTCATACACTGCCTTTTCTCGTCTTATTCTGATATTACGTGCACTCCATGTGAACAATGAGAAGGCGAAGATGTTACTGAAGCCAGACAAGACGATTGTCACTGAGCCACACCACATCTGGCCTTCTCTTACAGATGATCAGTGGATGAAGGTTGAAGTTGCTCTGAGAGATCTTATACTTTCAGATTATGCAAAGAAGAATAACGTCAACACATCAGCACTGACGCAATCTGAGATTCGTGATATAATACTTGGTGCTGAGATTACTCCACCCTCACAACAGAGACAGCAGATCGCTGAAATTGAGAAGCAGGTAATATATAATGAGAAGATGAAGTACATTCAAAGTTTCTCCAAATCCTATTTTGTGATTGCTTACCTTTTCTTGTTTAATTTGCACAGGCCAAAGAAGCAAGCCAGCTAACTGCAGTTACTACCAGGACAACTAACGTACATGGTGACGAGCTTATTGTCACGACAACTAGTCCATATGAGCAAGCATCACATCTTAAGAAAACAGATTGGCGTGTAAGAGCTATCACAGCTACAAATCTATATCTTCGAGTTAACCATATTTATGTCAACTCAGATGACATTAAGGTATTCATCATGTTCTGTTGTTTCTGTTGTTTGTGATTTCGCTGTGCCTACAAGGATGATTAACTTTGATTTACTTCTGTAAATTACAGGAAACGGGTTATACTTATATCATGCCTAAAAACATATTGAAGAAATTTATTTGCATCGCTGATCTTCGAACTCAGATTGCTGGATACTTGTACGGTTTGAGCCCACAAGACAATCCTCAAGTGAAGGAGATCAGGTGCATAGTGATGGCACCGCAATGGGGGACCTATCAGCATGTCAATCTTCCATCAGCTCTTCCAGAGCACGAGTTCTTAAATGACCTGGAGCCGTTGGGTTGGATGCATACGCAGCAAAATGAACTCCCTCAACTATCGCCACAGGTGATTTCCATCCTTCCAAGTTTATCGATTTATCTTGCCTTGGAATATCAATGTGGTTAAGAGTATTACATTATAACCTTCAACCCTCACCATAAAAACTTCAGCGTGATCTTTAGAACAACCCTGGTTCAAGTACCTCCAGGCATAGCATTTAAAGACGATTTAGAAAAAGGTAGGATTTTGTTACATTAGACCCCAAATCTCTGTTAGTTGAATATTAGACCGTAAATCTTCGTATTTCTGAATTAGACTGCCAAATCTCTTTAGTTGTTTATAAGAAACATTATAAAAATGATAACATGATATTAGAGTATATGTTGTAACCTTCTAGAGCAACCCAGGTTCAAGTACCTCCAGGTGTTGCATTTAAAGTCGATTTAGAAATGGTAGGTTTTTGTTATATTAGACCCCCAAAATCGCCTAAGTTGCTTTTTTAAAAGAACATCCTTCGGTTAATTTAAATTAAAAAAAAAAGCAACTCTCTCCCTCAATCTCCTCACTTTTTCAGCCTCTCTCTTGGTTGGAGAAAATGTAACTATAAGGATATCAACGTGATTTAACCAAGATGATCAAGAGTTACCTATTTTGGCTTGTAATTTAACAAATATTTGGGGTAAATATGGCAGAAAATTTGAACTTTTGGGGTCTAGTACACAATTAACAGAGATTTCGGGGTGAACATGGCAAAAATCCCAGAAAAGATCACTGTCTAAAGCAGTCCAGGTTTTGACATATATAAGTGCCCTTAACAGGGTGGGCATGTTAGAATATATAAAATTATTATCTTCAATGTTACCCTAGGTCCCTAGCTTCATCAATGTCTGCATTCTTATATATTTGTTGCATGTTAAATATTGCAGGATTTAACAAGCCACGCTCGGATTCTGGAGAGCAACAAGCAATGGGACGGCGAAAAATGCATTATTCTAACCTGTAGTTTCACACCAGGATCCTGTTCCTTGACTGCATATAAGCTGACACCGACAGGTTACGAATGGGGGCGAGCAAACAAGGACACGGGAAGCAATCCACACGGGTACCTCCCAACTCACTACGAGAAGGTCCAGATGTTACTCAGTGACCGCTTCCTAGGGTTTTACATGGTACCAGATAATGGCCCTTGGAATTACAACTTCATGGGGGTGAAGCATACGGTAAGCATGCGATATGGTGTGAAACTTGGAACGCCTAGAGATTACTACCATGAGGATCACAGGCCAACACATTTTCTCGAGTTCAGTAATTTGGAGGAGGGAGAAACTGCGGAGGCGGATAGAGAGGATACTTTTACATAGTGGAGGTGTTATCTGGAGCTCGAGTGATATCTAGCTGCACCTCACAATGTTACAATAGTTAGTTTGTGGGGGATTGTTGTACATAAGCTTTGAGCTTTAGGTTATTCGATGTATAACACTGTAACTCTTTATCGTACTATCCTACGGCTAAAAGCGGTGCTTACTTTTGATCTTGAGATGTAGCAGAGCATCAACTCCGGGTTTTTGGCTGATAGATGAGTAAGTTGTGTCTCATGGCACGGATGCTTAATTTCCCGTCGGTTCGCGATAGCTCTGTAATTTTTGTTTAAATATTTGTCTGAATGGTTCATGAATGTTTACTACGAATGTGTTCTTTTGAATATTTTGATTCTGTAATTTTTGTTCAAAATATTAGTCCGAATAGTTCTTGAATGTCACTATGAATGTGTCTGTATAAATATTTGATTCGTTTGGCTATCAAAATTGTATACTCAGATTGAGTCGATTGGTATTCTGTAGGTGGTTGGAATACGCCTGCATGTTTTTTTTAGGTAATTCACCAAAAAGGAAAGAGTAGTCTTGCGTCAGGCTACGTATACCGTCATAAGTTGTCATGCAAAGTTTATTGATCATCGAGGAGAAGGTTCGGAAAGAAAGGGAAACAACGGAGGGATCCGAATCGGACCTAAAATGGGAATGATATAAAACTTCTTTTTCAAAACCTATCACTAAGGGTAGTCTTACATCAGACTACATATGTCGTCATAAATTGTAATGCATCCCATCAAAGTTTATTAATCATCACTATCATCTGCACAGAATAACGATAAATTATCGTACTGATCATCACTATCATCTGCACAAAACAACGATAAATTACTACAAGTTCATTGTTCATTTACGAATGGAGAGTGAACAGGATGGAGAGTGTGCTGAAGGGCAAAATCGAGAGAAGTAATCTAGACAGTTGAACAGATCATTTTACCTTTTACCGAGGACGAATTTTTTGAAATAGACCTATTCTAGTTTTTATTGACAAATACCGATCATGTTTAGATTTATTTACAAAAATAGATGTTGCTTTAGCTGGTTGTTTAAAAAATATATATTGTTTCTTATTAGCACGCTTAATTGGGGAAGAGTTAGTTAAGGATCAGTTTGGTAAGCTTATCTTGTGGTGCTTTTGCTTTTTTCTACATTTAAGGGGTGCTTTCAGATGTAACCTTCAGGTGTTTTTTAAAAGCAGCTTCCGTTTTCTTAGTTTACATATCATTATATGACATTTATCTTTTGACATTGATTTGTAAGAATAATTTTATGAAGCACATTAATCGCTTTTGAGAATAAAATAGCTATTTTTACTAGTTTATATAAGTTTCTTATAGAAGAAAAAGCAACTTAGCAGAAGCTCTAGGTTGTATACAAGGACAAATAAGTAGCATTTACTCTTAGAAAATATGCGGAGTGGATGAAGTTATCAAGTAGCGAATGGTAGTCAGAGTGTTTTTAAATCTTTTCGATTTTATGGTGCAAGGTAGTTAATTTTATGGTGGATGGTAGTTAGGGTGCTTTTCAATTTTATGAATAGACTTTTAAAAAATTATTGCCAAAAGTGAGATGAAGTATCTTATTATTAGAAAATTTTGGGAATGGAGCATCTTACTAATAGAAAATTTTGAGAGTAGAGAGGGTCATCAAGTAGTGGATGGTAATTAGGATATTTTTGAAAAGTATTGTCAAATAGTGGATGGTAATTTCACTAATTTGGATGATATGAAGTATCTTGCATTTAGAAAATTTTCTGTAACAATTATATAGTCTCCTTTCCTTATATTAAACATACTTCTCACTTACTAGACTGATCTTGTGACGTGTGTTTGTTCTCATAATTCTTCTAACTAATTATATCAATGTTTTACTTAAATTATAATTCCTCTAACCAATTATATCAATGATTTACTTAAATTACAAAAATTGCCATTGGGCAACTAAAAACACCGCCAAAAGTCAGAATATTTTCATTAGAACTGAGACGGTTATTAGAATGGGATAAATTTTTCATCGTGGGATATTTTTCAGTGTGATAATTAGGAGTAATATTTTGAAGCAGGATATTTCAGTGAAACAATTATTTGTATGGTTTAGGATAATCCGTGACCATCAAAGTATACAAGTAATGTATCATAATGCCATTATTACATTTACTATTATTAATTAATAAACATTTACTTCAATGTTAAGTAATATTGAATAACTATTGGTTAGACTATAAAATATTATTACAATAATAAATAAAAAAGCATTTTCCTTTCCGCGTGTATCTTTTTTTTTAGAGGATAAAAGGGATGATACAAAGTGGGAGCTTTTACAGAATAGATAATACATAAACGAGAAGGGGTTGGTAGGAGGGACACCTACATCCTAAATTAGATTAGGATGAGAATTATGACTAATATGTATTCTAAGCCAACTTGAAAAGCATGCTTCACCTCTTAAGTTTCCTGAGAAACTAAAGAGAACTCAAGTTCATGCGAATATTCACCCAACATACAGAATCTGATTTTAATGGCAAAAAAAAAAACATGTGCTCTCGAGATTACAATCATAAGATAAAAGCAATTGGCATTCTAGCCTTCAGACATGCCCACAATTTAAACTTTTCTAATTGAAAAAAAAACTATTACATATAACCAACAATATAATGACGAAAACAACCCATTATTTCAAATTTCGTCCTCCATATCAGAAGAAGCTCTGAACATATACTATTATACAACAACAACGGCTGAAAACATGCTCCAGTGTTTGTAGAAGACAAACAACCTGATGACACTGAAACTCAAGATCATGAACAGCCAAAACATTTTCTTACGGGACCAAGAATTTCCTCAATGGGTGATGGTTGATAATCTACAGGACGCTCCGGAGTCTCTGATCTTTTAGGAAGATGCTTGAAAAACGCTTTTACAGCTCCGGTCACCCCATCTTCCGTTTTCATGGCCTCTGCTAGTTCTACAGCCTGTTCCTTCACCTGTAATTTCGTAGAGAGATCAAAAATCATATCCAAACACCTTCATTTTTTTTTCTATAAAAAAACAATTAAGATAATACTTCACTTAAATTGGAGGAGACAGTCCTTTAACATAAATGAACTGAATAATAGGCTTTGTTGTTGTGTTGTTCCTGTTACGTAAAGCATATAATGACCCTAAATATTATCTTCAAAGCCACTATCGTCTCTAAAACCACAATGGTGAAAACCAGCATTATAATAGTGCAAACCCTACGTGTTTTCATCTTAGCAATTGGAATTGGAATAAAGGGATATCTGAATCCTAATGCACAAGGCATACAAATCACACTACATCCATGATTTGCTAAAAGTTAAACCAAATCCATCTCATGAGAAGATCCTAGATGTTGATAGAGAGAACATTAAAAATTACCTTGGGATTCAACATATAATTTATGGCGTCAACTAGCTTTGGCAGGGAGAATTGATCGACGGGTATAGGAGCGGGTCCCACTCCTCTGGCATGCACTCTATCACCCCAAAAGGGCTGGTCTCCAAAGAAAGGTACGATTGTAGTTGGACACTGTCAAATACCAGCAACAAACCGTGTTATATTAGGTTACTAACTTAAGCAAAAATCAACAAAAGACAAAAAGAAAAGAAAAATAGAGACCGCAGCTTTAAGGCCAGCAGCCGTTGTTCCTGCACCACCATGATGGACCTGAAAACAGTAATCATAATATAAACCGTTGTTCAGATTCAGTGTACATCCGGCCTTCAATCGAACTTATTACTATACTAATCCCTGAGAAAATGAGAGGAAAAAATTTGATACCCATCACCAATATAGAAGTATAATTTTACATGAATAATGTTAGTGTATTAAATGTTAGTGTCTTATCTCTTATGATGTTGCAAAAACCAAAGCCTTTATATAAAACCGAATAAAAGCATATCTTATCTCTTATGATGTTGCAAAAACCAAAGCCTGTATATAAAACCGAATAAAAGCATATCAAACTATACAACAAAGATTGTTGATTCCAATATAAGCTAAAATCAAGAGTATGTTGATTCCAATATAAGCTAAAATCAAGAGCAACGGAAATAGGAAGCTTACCACTGCCTTGCACCGTAAGAATAACCAATCATGGGGAACGTTATCCAATAGATATATAGATTTCTTTGGCTCTGCCACTGAGAAAACAGTGTATTTGATAAAAGTTGGGTAACAGTAGACACATGTATGTAATACTAGTAATAGATAGATAGAACAGGATCCACAAACTTACAATTCCCAAGGCCACCCCAGCCTTTGTTAATGATGCCTCTCTGTTTGGTGGTTTCTAAGGCCTCCACAATGATTTGAGTCATCTTTTCTGGTTCTTGAACAGGCTTTTAATACGAAAAAATAGAATAATACAAAAGAATCAGTGGGTCATAAAAAAGAACATCAATAAATACCAGAGCATCAGTAACTTAAAAAGAACATAACTTGAAAAGAACCTTCAGAGCATCAGTAATGGAGCAATTAGTAATGTTTGGACCAATTCAAGTAATGTTCAGTATGGCAAATAACATAACTTAGGCAGTGATGTACATTATATTAGGAAAGAAGTAAACAATCTATGGATGAAGTTTCTCAAAACGTTTAATACATTTAATTTCCTGTCAGTGTAAATTTTTATTTTGTAAGATGAAACTTTTGTGTAATGGGCAAATGCATACAAATTTTTTACACATAACATCAAATAGCTGAAAGGCATATTACTTGTTAACAAACAAAAGAAGTTACTAATCTCCTTGATTCCAATGATTAACACCTTTATAATGCAGATCAGCAGGTAATTGCAGCTTATGTATTTGTTAAGGAAAACTTTGCAGGCTACGTGTGATTTTAATACCATATATAAACTGTGGACAAGCTTCTTCTTCGCGTATTAAGTGAGAAAAAGATGCAATACTCAAATCATAAAAAAAAACAAGCATACGCAATAACAGCATGCATCATATCTGTAACAGTAAAGTAGAAAGATATAAAAAGATAATTTCTAGTCAAACTAATATGAAAGACACTTCATTGAGAAATGTAAGCAATAAAAATACTGGGAAAGAAACTCACAAGGCTACCAAATCCAACATAAATGGGCTTTTCTTCATCAGCTTCAAGCCATTTTACAAGCTCTTCTGGAGGTTCGTAATTTGATGCAAGATCAAGGAAGCAAAATCCAACCACATCAATCCTCGGTCCCCAGTCTGCAACATAAAAGATAAAAATGATAATAATAGAAGGAATCCAGAAATCCTTTTGATCCGCTGATTCTATGAAAGTGGGAAAATCAAGCTTTTCATTTCACATAATCTTACTAATATTGATGAATATTTATTTCAAAAAATTAAAACCAAAAAGCAAATAAAAATATTTTGTTAAATAAACTAATCATCATAGAAAGTACATATTAGTCTAAAAACAATAATAACAGATAAGCAAGTAATTACAATTAGTTTGATAAATTTGAATGAGAGCAAGAAAAAAATGGCAAATGGTCAAGTATGATGATAAAAGCTACATTAAGGTTGTGGCACAATGCTTATTAATGGGTAGTAAGCATAGTTTTTATCATAGAACATAAATCAGGGTTGACCTTTAGGCTTGGGAACTAAATGAGGACTCCAAATATATCCGTGAGGAATGTCAGAAGCGGATCCCTGTGCACCACTTAGGTAAGTGACGGGTCGCAGTTTCAACTTCTTTTTCCTAAATTCATTTATCATATCCCGTATCCCAAGCCAAATCATAGAATCAACAATTTGATATGAAAGCTGCACAAAAAGATTTCAAGAACAATAAGTAAATGCATAAAAAACAAAATTTCTGTATGTAACAGAGGAGCAAATTGAAATGGCATACAAAACATAAATATATCACTAGATGAAAGAAAGTGAACTCAGAATTAACCAAAACTAAACCTCATTAGGCCAGCCTGCATTGTATCATATTAGTGAAATCTATTTCAAAGGAGAGCAACGTAATGCAACGGAGGGAAGGAATTAAAAAAATCTCGAACTTTTGTTTCGAGTAATACAAACTCTTTATAAACTAGCAGAAATGTTGTGGTGGACTAAGATGTGCTGACATGTAGTAAATTTATTAGATATCAAGATCTGTATTATTTGAGGACAACAAACAATATATAGGAAACAACTTTACCAAAATATATACGCTCTAGCTTTTTATCCTGTAGGTGAATATTAGAAAGTAACTTTGGTCCTACCAAGCCAAAACCCTACCGGTTCAAACATAAAGAGTAAAACCATAGTTCAAAATGTATACCTAGCACTGACACTTCTATTAGCATGTTCTGCTGTGCCAGACATGCGTATTGTATGTATTTTTCAGAATTGCTTGCATGTTGGCATGTCATGTCCATGTTGGCATCTGCATATACATGTCCATGCTATATAGACATAAATTGTTAGAATGGATCGGGTTTTAGGCAATGACGAGAAATATTAGCCTAAGAAACTAGTCTCCAAAAGACATTAGCGGTAGAGGTGATATTTTCCAACGTTCTAGGATTGTTTTTCTACCTAATAACAATTGATTGATGGCTTTCGAAATTACAACCAGACAACTTTAAAGTTCGAGTTCAAAAATCATTGAAGAATAAGTTGGTCCTTCCTACAAATCCCATTTCAATGAAATCCCCTTCATTTCATTAAGTTTGTGAACTTAGGAAATGAAGTGAGACAACAAAAGAAGGGAAAATACTTTATTACACTGACTGATGCAAGATCAGCACCCCATCATCATCTAAATTTATGATAAGCTGGAAAAAGTTCCGGAATAAGAAGTTGCACCATATTCCGCTCATTCAGAATGACAATAAAATTGGAAAAGAAAAATAAAACTCACTGGGTCCACAAATCTACATCTTTTTGTTTCCCTTTTTTTATTTTTTTCCCAAAGAGAAAAATCGGGGGGGGGGGGGGGGGGGAGGGGGGGGGGGGCATGATTATTTGGTTACTATCTTTCCGCCGATATTTCAAGTTGGCAGATTTAAGATATTACATGGAAATACTAGTATGTATAGCTGAGGCTAGTTTATTCTTTTATTCCAACCAAATGTCACAGTTGTGAGATGACTAATGATGGAAATTTTAAGACTACCAGTATTGTACATGTCAATTCTAATCATGTTTTAGGTCATATCTTTTCTTGAAGACATGAGCAACCAAATTTGAGATTCGAAAAGAGAAGTCCGCATATTGATAAGTCTGAGCCCAAGCACATAGATGCTTTTGTACTTATTGAAGGTATATTCTGCCTAAAATAATAGTTGTCTCACATTGCCACAATTCAGAAAGTCTTTAAATTGAGGGAGTGAAACTACTTGATTCAGCAGATGAATAGGTCTGTTGTAAATGCAAACTAAGAGGAGAGAAAGATTCTCACGGACGGCGATAGCCCAGCACATCTGTTTTAACAACGAGAAAGAGGATGCGGAAATTCCACTGGTTGCAGCCTCCATTGCATCAGATGATGGATCAGTGGCACCGGCAGTTCTAAATAAATATCAGAATAAGTTTATAACCATTACTATATCAAGCCTTAATCTTATTCAGAAATAATCAGCGCCATAAAAACAATCAAATGGATGAATCAGTACCAAGAATACAAAACTCACGTCCAATGGGGCATTGTAAAGAATATGTGGATTGGTACTTTTTAACAGCCTCTGCCCTACGTGTGTAATTCTGAACAAGCATTTTTGTCATGTCAGGCAATGACTCAAGAATCCATGCATATAAAGCATAATAATCACTGATCCCTGGATGTAAGGACAGCAGAAGAAACATATCAAAACGGCAACACCGCAATCCCTTAATGGTCAAGGATTGAAGTCTGTGTGATGTACACATGATATGCTTTGTGTGGCTTTGTGGGGAAAGTTACAGGCTTTTGGGGGTTATTGTCAGACACTTCGGAAATTCGAGATTTTATGGGAAAAACTAAAGTTCGGCAAGAGAGGTTGTGGGTAACGCCATAAAGTTTTGGGGTTTTCTTATGTGAAATTTACCCAAAAATAAATTAAAGATGATGTGAAGAAGGTGAAAGAGTCAACACAATAAGAAAAATTAGAAGAAGACCAACCATAATGCCAGGTGATTCGCAATTAATGGCATGCTGCCTTGAAGGAATTCCTGAATCCATCTCGGGGTCCTTGGCAGGTGGTAAGCAAAGAAAATATATTTCCTTGAGCTGTTTCCTTTGAATAGGTATCTCTGAAGCGCAGAAGGTAAAAAGCCTTTATCTTGACCATGTCCCTTGTTCACAAATACAAAAACTGTAGTCAAAATTACAAAGTTCTGCCAAAATTGTCAGTGCAGTAGTAAGCTCTAAGCAAAAATAGAAACCCAGATGAGGTATTCAAATAACATCCAGCAAGAACTTTCGGGTCTCCTCCTAAAGGGTAAAAACTCCAGTCCAGCTGTCAATACGAATCTTTGAAGTTTGCATGAGTTGGCAAGTCTGACACGTGTGCCCGTAGTCCTGAAAACAACCTTAATGTCACTGTACAAACATTATCCTAAAAAGTACCTTTACAGACCAAGGGATTTGGTCTATAAAAGAAGCATATTTATATAAACAAATCATATTTTCTCTTTTATTTCATAGATATGGTTTACTACAGACTGCAAGACACAATGCAAATAATGGGAAAAGGCTTCTGGCTAGCAGAGACAACCCGCATTTTTGAACGGAAGTAGGCTAATTGATGATAGATGATGATGACTATGATTTATGATGCCAAGACTCTGGCAAAGATTTTGAGTTTGAGGCTTTCAAAATAAATAATTAGTATTATAATTGGATGTTTTGTTGAGATCCAATTTTTCATGAGTTAAGATATAACCGATGCATTTAATACTATTTTATTATTACATTCAATTATTTATATTATTTTTGTATTTCAATGTTTTAATTTTGAGGCAGGTAGGTACGATGAGTTGAGGAATAATTTCTCTTATGAATATTGTTCAAGTGTGATTGAAAGAGTATTGAATAATATCATAATATATAATATATAATTAGTATTCAGATAAATGGGGTGTTATGTAAAGCAAGACAAGCACATTTTCCCTCTCCACCCATAGCATTGTATTGCAAGTATGTATTAACAAAAATATATATGATACAACCACGAATAAATAGAATTGATAATATAAATAAATATAGAAATATTTTTATAGAACACATCATATAGATAGACAGATTTTGGATAAAGTATATACATATAAACTTTTGAAATATGGAATAAAAAGGGAACAACCACCAAGTAGTAATTCAAATAATGAAATAAAAAGAGATCATCGTATTCGAAAACTCGCCATAGGAGTTTTACAATATAGAAGGAAGAAAAGAAAAGTTAGTTGCTGGAATCATACTTTGAATTAACACCATTAAATAAGCGATATATACATAATTTTGATAGAGCTAAAATAATAAATGATAAGAAATATAATGAATTGATATTAAATTGATACCACAACATAAAATATGTATGTAGAAAGAAATGGTAAAGAAAAAAAAGATTAAAAAATATAAATGTATGAGATTAGAGATAAATCACTCCTCAAAGGACCCCTCAGACCTCCAATATCCCTTCAATTAATGAACACTATCAAAAAATGAAGAAGTACCTCAAGACAGACATATAGAATATAAAAAAACCTCTCTCTCTCTTAACTCTCCATCGACCATAAAAATGAATACCCCACCCAACCATCCACGATAAATGAGCAATATATACATATAAATATATTATTATTGTGTTGCCCACACACACCCTATCTCTCGTAATTAATTAACTCTCTTTAATTTATTTTTGGGTCCCACTCACCACCAAAACAAAAATTTACCGACGCCTCCCACTCCCACACCAACAAAAAAAAATAAAAATACATAATAAGGATTTGTTGCTTCCTCTCACTCCAAAGACCACCCCCATAGGAAATACCATGATAAAAAAATGAAATAAACAAAAAAATGTAATTTAAAAGAAAAAAGATATTGTTAAAGGGTAACAGAAGATTCAATATTGTCATTAAGGGATGATGTGTTGTTTGATATGTTTATTATGCTTTATTACATAGGGATAAGATATTATTATGATTTATATGAATTGATATTGACCCTCTCTGATGATGAAAATGTTGTTAGCCGAATACCAGCACCCCACCACACACCCACACCCACCCCCCCCCAGATGGAAGAGGGTTAAAAGTAATAAAATATTTTCCTCAAATCCGCGTCTCCTTTCCCTATACTATCCCTCCTTGATTTGTTTATCGGAGTGTTTTATGAATAGATTAGGCTGATATATCACCATCCCCCAATTACTCCACCCTCACCTCCTTCCTCCAATGAGGTGAATGATAACTCCCTATGATGCAATATGGCACACCGCAACACACAAAAACCAAAAACAAAATAGAATAACTCAAAAAATATAAATATAGAATGTTAAAAAGGTGATCTGATATAGGGTGAGATATTTATATAATATTAGTTGGAATTTAAAAAGAATATTATATGATGAAAAAAGTGTTTAATAATAAATACAATATATACATACCACTATGATCGCAATCGATCGCACCACGACACTACCATCTACCTACCTTTAGGAGAATATATCTACATAAGTACCCGCACCATCCATCACTACATTCCGCCTACCTATCTCACCGATTATAAATAGAATCACAACATTGGTGTACATAAAAATATATATATAATAAATAAACATAGATAGAATTGAATGTAAAATATGTAGTACTTAAAATTTAATAATGTAGTCATTAACCAACTTGAACTTTTATCTGTTGAATACAAAGAATAATAGTAGTATAACATACTATATTTAATGTAATTAATCTTTTAACATGAAGTTGAATATCAGGGGAAAGATAGTAAAAAATTATCTGAAAACACAAAACAACACACAAGATTTTATTTGGAAAAAATAAAAGGAATCTTTCCCCGATATTTCAAGTTGGCAGGTAAAAGATATTACATGGAAATACTAGTATGTATACTGAGCTAGTTATTCTTTTTATTCAAACTAAATGTCAAGTTGTGAGATGACTAATGATGGAAATTTTAAGACTACAGTATTGTACATGTCAATTCTATCATGTTTTAGGTCATTATCTTTCTTGAAGACATGACACCAAATTTGAGATTCGAAGAGAAGCATATTGAAAGTCTGAGCCCCAAGCATCATGAGATGCTTTGTACTTATTGAAGGTATATTCTGCCTAAAATAATAGTTGTCTCACATTGCCACAATTCAGAAAGTCTTAATTGAGGGAGTGAAACTACTTGATTCAGCAGATGAATAGGTCTGTTGTAAATGCCAACTAAGAGGAGAGAAAGATTCTCACCCGATAGCCAGCACTCTGTTTAACACGAGAAAGAGGATGCGGAAATTCACTGGTTGGCCTGCCAATTGCATCAGATGATGGATCAGTGCACCGCAGTTCTAAATAAATATCAGAATAAGTTTATACCATTACTATATCACCTTAATTCTATTCAGAAATAATCACGCCATAAACAAATCAAATGGGAATGAATATACCAAAATACAAAACTCACGTCCATGGCATTGTAAAGAATATGTGGATTGGTACTTTTAACGCCTCTGCCACGTGTGTATGTCCTGAACAAGCATTTGTCATGTCAGCAAATGGACTCAAGACTTCCAATTGCATATAAAGCATAAATAATACTGATCCCTGGATGTAAGGAAAGCAGAAGAAACATATCAAAACCAACACAGCATCCCTTAATGGATCAAGGATTGAAGTCTGTGTGATGTAACACATGATATGCTTTGGGTGGCTTTGTGGGGAAAGTTACAGCTTTTGGGGGGTTATTTCAGACACTTCGGAGTTCCGAGATTTTATGGGAAAAACAAAGTTCGCAAGAGAGGTTGTGGGTAACGCCCTAAAGTTTTGGGGTTTTCTTTGTGAAATTTACCCAAAAATAAATTAAAGATGATGTGAAGAAGGTGAAAGAGTCAACACAATAAGAAAAATTAGAGAAGACCAACCATATGCAGGTGGATTCGCAATAATGGCATCTGCCTTGAAGGGAATGCCTGAATCCATATCGGGGTCCTTGCAGGCTGGAAGCAAAGAAAATATAATTTCCTTGAGCTGTTTCCTTTGAATAGGTATCTCTGAAGGCGCAGAAGGTAAGAAACCTTTATTCTTGACCATGTCTGTTCACATACAAAAACTGTAGTCAAAATACAAAGTTCTGCAAATTGTCAGTGCAGTAGTAATGCTCTAGCAAAAATAGAAACCAGATGAAGGTAATTCAAATACATCCAGCAAGAACTTTCGGGTCTCCTCCTAAAGGGTAAAACTCCAGTCCAGCTGTCAATACGAACTCTTTGAAGTTTGCATGAGTTGCAAGTCTGACACGGTGCCCGTAGTCCTGAAACAAAACTTTAATGTCACTTCACATTATCCAAAAAGTACCTTTACAGAACAAGGGATTTGGTCTATAAAAGAAGCAATTTATATAACAATCATATTTTCTCTTTTATTTCATAGATATGGTTTACTACAGACTGCAAGACACATGCAAATAATGGGAAAAGGCTTCTGCTACAGAGACAACCCCATTTTGACGGAAGTAGGCTAATTGATGATGATGATGATGACTATGATTATGATGCCAAGACTCTGGCAAAGTCACACTTGAACAATATATCATAAGAAAATTATCTCAACTCATGCTACCTACCGCTCAAAAGTTAAAACATTGAAATACAAACAATAATATAAAATGAGATTGAATGAATAATAGTAAAAGAGTTAAAGGCATCTGGTTATATCTTAACTCAGAAAAATGGATCTCAACAATAACATCCAATTATAAATATATCTAATTGATTTATTTGTGAACCCTCAACTCAAAATCTCCAAATAATAGTTCCAAAATAATGTCAGCTCATTATTTAACTTATGATAAATATCCAGAGGTAAGAAATACGAAGTAGAAAGGAAACAGCTGTTAATAAATAAGGTAAGATATACAACTAAAGGTTAAGGAGAGAAGGCATAAGAGCTATTGTCAAGAGGCCACAGCAAAAGGGAAGAATTATCTTCTTTTAGCTTTTCAGACAGGGAAGTTCTTTTGTTTGGCCCATTTTGCAAGGTATCAATGGGTTGACCAGGGAGGGGTTTTTTGGCACCGGTATCCAGGCCCGTCATATTTCCAATCAATTCAAAGGATTAAACCACTTCATTCTATGACACGAGTTTATGCATTTGCCAAACAAATTGGTGAGTTGTTCAGGATTTTAGAGTTATATTTATTTCTGAACTCCTATAGGCATGTTGTTGTCCAAAATCATTATACTTCCAGAGAAATTAGATATGTTGAAGTGTTGATATTTAATATTTACCTTCTTTTTTACAAGGAGAGTACTCGCATGGGCACAATAATACTGAAGTGCAGTAGTAAAATCTTGGGCATACACATATGCATGCCATATGACAAGCTCCATTTGTGGTTCAGGTTACCCGTCACATGGGCCAAACCACTAGCATTACCCATCTTTTAAGTTATGCCATGATTCGAAGGTCAGGATGGACATAACTGCTCCCATACAACATTATGCCCAGAGATGGATTTGGAACTAGATCAATCAACATTGACCATGCATCTTTATTAAACCAAACCATGATTGTTCTTTTTTTTAAACTTCCAAGTGCATTGATCTAGAACTAAATCTATAACAGAATCAAAATTTAAATGATAGTAAAATACATGTATGTATAGAGAAATTTTGCAATGAGAACTTCTGTAAGAACCTGCACCATCCATCTTGTTCAACCCATCAAAATTAATGTAAGAGTGAGAGCTCTGGTTGTTTTAAAACTCCCTTTACCTTCAAACACATGTTGTAATCACTTTAGAAAAGAAGATGAGCTTGGTGCAAGGGAAAAGTTCTGGCTTGAATTTCATGTTTAGAATGGCTAAACAGATAGATAAAGTGATAGATATCTAGATAGATAGATAATGGGCAAACCCACCCATTTCATTATAGATATATAGATAGATAGATAGATAGATATATAGATAGTGATCAAACCAAATCATTTTATTATAGATAGATTGATAGATAGATGCAAGCAAACCCATTGATTTCATTGGTACAGCTACTGGTAGTAATCCTTTCAGCTTCCATCCAACATAATTTACAATTCTATGTGAAAACAGTTAAACATTTATAGAATATGATCTCCAAAATTAAAAAAAGAGTTTCAAACAACAAACTCAAACAATAGAGCAGAGCAACATCCATAATTTTGGAAGTATAATGGATAGAATTGCTAGATTAGAAGCCACAAAAACAAAATAATAGAATGTCCAGCATCCTCCTTTCACTAGGTCATCAGCTTGTTGACTACCTCACTACTTGATTGTATAACATTTAAGTATATATATATAGTTATGTATAAAGTGGTACAGATATCTTTGCAAGGAGAAGTGTATTAAATATTAATATTAAAATCACTATATTACAAACATAAATGAGTCTAAGAAATAGAATTGCAATTGTAAAACTACTAGGTCCAATTAACATATTCAACAAACTAAAAACCCTCACCTGTAAACGTTTACCTATAGCAACAAAAGGCTGGACATCACCTCGTGTACCGACAATAAGCATAACTATCTGTAAAGGAGGTATATACTGGAGGTCAGTTTCTAGAGGTTCTTCATCAGCAGCTTCTCCATAAGTATCTACAGGAGCAATATCAAGAGGCAAAGGTTCGATATTGCTTGGAACCTCGACTACCACAGTTCCATCATGTTTTACTGTAGCTATCCGATTTAACATCTTGAGCTGCATTACCAAACCGAAAGAAGTCTTAAGTTTTATCATAAATTGTGATTACTGCTCATGCACTTAAAACTAACTCTAGAAAATAGCAATAAAGAAGAGGTAGAACATAATAAAGAATCTCACTTAGAGTAAACATGGAGTAGAAGCATATTTATCCACATAACATTTATCGCCAGAAGGCCCGGATCTATTAGCACAAGATAAAATACGATACAAACCAATGCCACACATCCAACAGAGAATCATAATTGGGATTATGGTTTTTTAGTAGATAGTGACTGTCATAAGACTAAGGCCTCCAACAGCTTAGAATGAAACAACAATGTTACAATGAAGTACTTAATTACTTCTCTGATGTCCAAAAACAAGATTTTTGGAAATAAAAAAGAATCGCCGTATCTATGTTATGTTGTTTTTCCATAAAAGTGTATTCACATAAAAAGAAATGGAAGAAGAAAGAGCAAAACAATAATCAATCATAAAAATTTAGTCAGGAAGAATAAAAATGTCAGTAATTTGTGGTCAATTCCATAGACCAAAATTACAGGAATCTATAGCTCACATAACATGGTTTATTAACCAATTTGACAGTAGACACTTCTCAAATGCATCAAAAAATGTCATGAGCTAACTGAGATGACCAAGAAAATCCAATCAACACAGTTTGATATCACGAATTGAAGGGTTTTCCATCAACATATATGTCTATAGAAACTTCTTGAGACTTAAAAAGATAGTTCATTCCCATTAAAAAAGGTTGTTTCCATTGTCCTATCAGTAAAAGTTCAGAGTTTCAGAAGTTGTATACAGGTCAGTGAGCCATACTAGAACTCTACAAGAGAAAATCATTTTACATAAAAAAAAGCAGCTGATCAAGAAGTCCACAGGAAAGTCTAGTTTAGAGAGAATTTACCGTTACTGTGAAATTATGTATTTTAACAAGGGGACTAAGATGGAAGCTCCCGCCATCAAGAACTAGTTAAATTTTACCGCTTGATTTTGTTCGAGTTAGGTAAAAGTAAGGCCTACATAAGCCAGCTAACCCCTAAAACGGCAAAGAATTAGGGTGGAGTTCAAAGGTAGAAATGACTCCCATTAATATTTTGGCATATACCTATCTACTTTTTGTATGAAGGTTATGCTTCATAATTCCATCTTTAATATGGAGTTAGGCTTTTTGACGAGATATGAGCTCCCATCTTACAACCTCCTGAAAATTCATTACGTCCAGACCTCATCTTTTCAAGCCAAACAAAGCTGAATCCCATCTCCAGATGGAATTATGGTTTGTCAAACCAAACAGACCTAAGAATTTATAAGAACTAGGCCCTATCTTTTCAAGCCAAACAAAGCTCAATCCCTAAAAATTCATTAGGTCTAGGCCTTACATTTTGTGAGGTATTTCAATAAATTCTTGTTGCAGTAACTCCTGCATATATAGCTGAAATGATACCCTCAATAATCTCCCATGCCTTTTGCTCGAAAATGCCTCTGAGGAAAATCAATTAAGGTGAAATAAACACACATCACAATAACAAATCTAAGCCACAGGAACTAATTCTTTACAAATTTGCAAATCGGCCACATGTTGCAACTGAACAAAAAATAAAATTTACCTAGTACCATCTTTATCAAACTAAGAACTAGTAATTATTAAAGGAAAAGGTAGAAAGGGATTCAAACCTTCTTTTTGTCAGACATCTTATCATCGAATAATTGAGCTGTGGGGTCAGTTCGTAGATTTTGTCTCCGCCTCTCAGTTTTCGATCTTTCAAAGTTCTGTTGACCCGTCGATGTCTCTGATATTTCTGAGTTTTTTGTTCCGCTAGGCATAGTATTTGCCCTAGGTAGACTCCTGTCATTGATCACTGTATAGAAAGGATTTAGAAGTTGCATGACACAATAAATTATACCCCCTCCAGTTGATTAACTCGCAGCGCATATTCATTTCATTAAAGATGGTTTATATATGATGGGTTTATGATAATAAACTGATCAGAACATTCACCATGCATTCTTTATCTAGTTATAAATATCACGCAAATCCGAAGAGACAGATATATAACACAACATAGTTTCGAAAATAAATCACTTATTCAGAATTTTCGTAAAATATGGACTTGAACATTAAACGAACTGGAAATTTATGGGGTGAATTTATATCAATACATTGAGACAGACCTTTGCAAAATCATAAGAAAATTACATATAATTTTTTTGCATGATGATCTGGTGCATACTTGTGAAAAAAGGAATCCAAGGAGGGTGGAATAGTATTATTTATAATCAGGGATACACATAGGGTCTTGTATATTTTTTTCAATCTCCAGAGAGGGATACATACAGGGTCTTTCATAACTTATCAAACTCTAGAGTATGTATACATCATTCCTTCATCTACTTAAGTCACGTCTACATAACCAAATTGAGGGACCCAAATAGATGACATAGAAACCATGCATAGCCCTTTCTATAGGTCCACTATGACTAAACATCAATTTCATTATTTCATATAAGGGTCTACAATAGTTTCATGCTAATTTTCTTTAATCTCTCCACTCATTAACTCAAGCTACAAAGTCACAGACAGCGACAGATCGAGGATCTCTAGAAAGTGGTGTCACCACATAATAAATAATTAAAAAATAAAAACTGTTCTCGGTGAGCCTTCATATTTTGACAAAAGTAGATAATTGTATCATCGGTAACAAAATCAAGTACATGAACTTGATTTTTATTGAACAACATCTTGAGAGGAGGCATGTCGAGGAACAATTTTCGGAGCCATGTTGATTGGGGAAGTCAAGGTCGAGTTCCCGAAGGAAGACGGAGGGGCACTGGGTTTGCGATTTCTGCTCTCACGAACGAATAAAGACAAAGCAGTAGAAGAAGAGGGTTTCTTGAACGCGATCTAGCAGAGAGTTTCTCGAACATGATCTGTTTGTGAAAAACGACGCGAGAGAGATTTCTTGTAAGCTGTTTGTGACAAACAACGTGGGAGATAGAGAGATCTCTTGCGATCAGTTTGTCAAAAACAATGCGAGAGAGGGAAGATTTTTCGTGATCTGTTTGTGAGAAAAGACGCGAGAGAGAAAGCGTTACCAAGATCTCAGTAGACTTTAGGGGGTAAGGGCTGAGGTCCTTTGGCAAAATGGTGTCATGTGACACCACTTTGCCAAAGGTGGCTCCGCCCCTAACTATCAGAGCCCAACTGAGTTCCTCCACAATATAACCCCACCCATCACACCTTTTACTAGGCCATTTTGTAAATATAATACGATTGTCAAAGAAAAGCCATGAAATAGTACAAAATAAAACATCCAAATTGACTTTACTCTTCAATTCGTATACAACTGAGATGAATGTCGTAGAAATGTGAGAATCCAATTGCAATATGTTAGAATGTCTGCCCAATAGGTAGATCATGGAAAAGTTTCAACTTTCAAAGATGAGATTCACCTGGGGTGATATAATTCAAATTGGATATATGGATCTTAATAAGTGAAAATTGACCAAGGCTTTTGAGTTAGGAGTAACTGGGAACTTACACCAAATTTAAGCTTGATTTACCAGACAAATATCTCACAGATGAAGTTCACCTACACACGCAAAAACCTCTCTAACTTAAATGCGTCCCCTCAACCATATCCACCAACACCCAGCCACCTGCACATTCAAATCCCAAAGCATATGCTTACCTCAATGGAACATGGGGTATATATGAGGGCAGATGAAGTACATGAACTTGCTTTTTTTACCCATTGCATTCAATGATTGTTATCCTATAAAGCTTTGCGTTGCAATGGTTTCCACTTTATTAGACAGAATAAAATTTTCAATCACTGCTTTGTACCACTATATCCTTTGTTTTCCTTCAAATGTTGTTATGCTCCATCGATGAAACTATGATGAGACCGAATACCTGTAGCCTATGTAGCACGGACACGGATCCGATACGGCCATCCGACACGCCGACACGAGGCAAATCCTAAAAAATACATAGGATACGTGTGTTCGACACATGTGTCCGACACGGACACGACACGACACAGCTTCATGTTATGCGTGTCCGTGCTTCATAGCCTGTAGCACTCATTTTCAGACCAATTCTGCAGACGTGTATCACAGTAAGCATTTGATACGTAGTTCATGGTCTCATTTTATGATGTAGCCATTTTTGTTGGTTGTACGGTCTGATGCTAACCCATTTAAGCAAGATGGAAGAAATGCATCCTCCAAGTATGGAAATCTTCAAATTGAAAAAAACCAGGCAGGAAACTTCCCCAACACAACTGCCATGATTCAAAGTCAACCCCACCCCCCACCCCCCCAAAAAAAGAAGAATAAGAAGAAAAACCCCTCTTCTTTGGCTAAAATATCAGGCTAAAAATATCATAGCCTATACATTCTGCAATCAGATATTTCATAGGCTTGTGGTGCTCTTTGTTCGCAGCGGCATACCAAGATATATTTTATAAAAATAAAAATAAAAATAAAACTTACCCATCTGGCATTAACTACCGTCTAGTGAAGTTACCAAAATGTATCCAATTATTGAGTAAAACTCCATCATGAACAGCATATTACCAACGCCTATACTTCCCCTTGGAAATTTATTCACGTGCTTTCTGATCCTATAAACTCTTGTTGCATAATCTCCCAGTTCCATAAAGGCCTTTCTTAGGCCTTCACAAATGTAAAATTAACAACATAACACTCCTAAAGTCAGCGCCGGCTGCTTGGATTCTTTGTACCTCTGAACATAATCACTCTTAATCAAAAACAATGATAGATTCTCTCAAAACCCTAAAAAAAAACACAACCTCATGAACAATCGAATGCCCAAGATTCACACAAAACCTTGAACATCCATCAAGAAGCATCAATTTAAACCTAAAAAACCCTAATTCATCAAGATTCAGACAAGTTAAGAGAGGACGAACCTGAGGGCGATGAGCTCGAGCTTCCGCCGCCGCCGCCGCCGTTCTCCTTGCCGATGCCCCCGCTGCCATCGGCCATTGTCGAGGGTTTCGAACTCCCGGGGGAAATCGATGCTCGTTTCTCGCGAGCAAACTGAGAGAGAGCGAGAGAGATTCGAGGGCGATTGGGAATTAATTAATTTTTGTAAGGAGTAAAAAGAAAGTAAAAGATTGCTGGGAGACGGACGAGGAGTCGCTTCTTTTGACGGTTATTCGCCGCTAAACTATTTATTTAAATAATCTTTATCCATGACTCTCAACTTTTTTTTTTTAAATACTTCTTGTGGCCCTGGATGTCAGTGTGCGATGAATTCATTATACACCCCTCAAATAAAGGATTTTGGATTTGCCCCTCGGAAAAAGAAATTGCATATGTACTTTTTTTTTTTGAGCAAGTAGGGAATTTATTAATTCATGAAATCATGTCTTACAACCTCAGCCAATAGCAATGGCATTTCATCCGCCCATGTATTTGTTATAAAGATGCAACATAGATGCCAAAAGGTGAGCAACCATATTCTTTCCCCTCTTCACAAAAGAAAATAAACATGTGAAAATGCATATTTCTTCAGGTAAGCATTCTCATTGCTTGTTCAAAGTCTATCGTCGTTCTTTGATAACCACCTGCGATACAAGAAGTATCTCATGCTCAATTGTCATTAGTTCTGCCATTAACGCTGAGCATGTAATGCGTTGACAAAAGCTCCCCATGCTAAGTACGCAACATGTGTGATCGTTGATCTCAAACAACAACACCACCCGTCACCAACATATATAGTTGTAGGATTTTATCCACCATCACAATTTATTTTTACCCATATACAATGTTTAAACATATTAAATTTATATTTGTACCTATGTCACTGGAACTCAAAATGCATCTTGGTTAAAATATTTTCCCAAAACATGTTATCAAAAACATTACAATGTCCTATTTGCTAGATTTTTGTGGTTGTCTTTATACATGAAGATCAATTAGCGAAAGAAACATTTTACATTTTAGAGAGGCTAGGAATCTAAAATGATATAAGGCTAACTATAGATAGGCCTGTCCATCCGGCCCGGCCCGGCCCGGCCCGACCCGGAAATCCGGGCCCGGGCCGGGCAAAACCGGAGCCCGGACCCGGGCCCGACCGGGCCGGGCTCCGGGCCGGCCTGGATTTTTTTATTTTTTTTAAATTTTAAAAACAATAAAACATAAAAATTACATAAAACTTATATTATATAATAGATATATATATTTTATACTCTTATATAAATATAATTATATATGTACATATAAGTTTATGTTATATATATGTATAGATATATAAATATATATTTATACTCTTATATGTATTTATACTATTATATAAATAACTTATTATATGTACATATAAGTTTATGTTTATATATGTGTATATATAATATAAATATACTTATATATGTATAATATATGTGTAATATATAGTATACTTATATACTAAGAGAGAGAGTATAAATATATAATAAGAGAGAGTATACACTGTACACATATATAAGAGAGAGCATACTTATACATATATATAATTATATAAGAGATATAAACATATATAAGAGAGAATATACTTATATTTATATATACTTATATACTAAGTAGCCCAAAGTATTCATGTAATTCAATATAAAGTATATGTATATATAACACACACACACACTGACACACATATACATATATTATACATAAACAAATTGTAAATACTTATAGTAATTACATAAACAAATTGTATTATACATAAAAAACACACACACACATATAAACTTATATATACACACATATATTATACATATATAAAAGAGTATATTATATAATACTTATGACATATAGTATACATATAAGAGAGTAGTATACTTATACATTATACTTACATATATATATAATTATATAATATATATATATATATATATATATATATATATATATATATATATATATATATATAATATATATATATATATATATATATATAAGAGATAATAATACTAAATAAGAGAGAGTATACTGATATATACTTATATAAAGAGTATATACACTGTATACTTATATATATACTTATACATATATTATATATATATAAGAGAGAATATACTTATATAAACTTATATACTAAGAGAGAGAGAGAGTATATATATATATACATATATTAATACATATATAAGAGAGAGTATACTTATATAAGAGAGAGTATACATTGTATACTTATACATATATATACTTATATAAGAGAGAGTATACTTATATATAATTATATACTAAGAGAGTATATATATATATATAATAATATATATTATATATATATAATATATATATTATATATATATATATATATATATATATAATATATATATATATATATATATATATATATATATATTATATAACACAATATAATATACACATATACATATATTTTATAATATACATATATTATACATATAAGAAAATAAAAAAATTAAAAAATAAAAAAATTAAAAAAAGGCATTGTTCCGGGCCGGGCCGGGTGCCGACGACGGCCTGGGCCCGGGTCTGGCCCGGGTTTCCGGGCCGGGCCCGGGCCGGCGGGCTTTTTGGACACCCCTAACTATAGATAGTTATTATTCATGAAAATGCTTTAATTATTATGCAAATGTTGTATGTGATTTTTGGATAGCCATGGTTTCCTTTTGGGCTGCAATTAGTCCCTTTGTTTTTTTAGGAGTTTTTAGAGTTCTTATCTTTGTAACTTTGATACTCTCTGTAGTCTCTCTTTAAGACATCTACTACAGATTTGGCACTACTCTCCAGCTCGGAGACGTTGCCTTAATCTGCAGTAGATATATTCTTTTGTATGTTCTTTTAACCTTGATCATCAGTCATACAATGATAGGGAAATCCCTATTTTCACTCAAAAAAAATAGAGGAAAAGTATTTGAATTTGCTGAAGAATGTAAGAAGACCATATTAATTTGGCGATATAACAAAACAAAAGGATACAAGTAGGGTTGCACATGCAAAGAAATATCTACATATGCAAATATATTTGTATATATTTGTATTAACAGATAATGACATGTTGCTTAAATCTAACTGATAGGATACGACCACGAATATGATCACGTAGCTAAATATCTAGATTTACATCCAAAATATCCGAATATATATTGACCATACAGTTGCAATTATTTTAATCATAAGATTAATGAAATTGAAACTGATTTCGATGATGAAAAAATATAGTCTTGGTCTTCCAAATATAACAAACAAATTTAATGAACTACCTTGTATCATATAAACTATAATTTTTTCGATATTATTTGATTTTCCCATATTCATTTTGCATCCACGTGTATTTTTATATCTGAATCCAGTTTCAGAGGATATAAATATGAGTTTTCCTTATCGAGACATAGATTGATGTACCTGTGTATGTATCCGCAGTCGGTAACCGGATACGAACACATCAAATGTCATATCCGAGCTATATCCGATCCGTTAACACCCCCAGGTACAACAATACAAACACAAAACACAATAGGAATGGCGTAGGTTCCAAGCAATTTGCGAGGGGCTAATAATGCAAACTAATCAATCCTAGCATGTAATGCCACAATTGTTCAAGAACTAATATGCAAAAAGATTACAAAACACAGTAAACCTGGCGTGGTTGGGTGCGGTTGGCGTGAATATATTATTCTCTGTCAACTCATCCACCACCGCGCACGTGCAGCCAGCTCAAGCCACGCTCTGCACGCGCATCTTAGATAAACGCTCCCGAAAGTAGGCGGCAATTTCTACCGCCTGATCCTCCGCTCGAAATAATATCAACCGTTGATTTTGTGACAGGTTGTGCTACTGAAATCGGACAAACACTTGACATTGTCCTCAAGCAAGTCTAATTAGAGGTAAGGAAAATAATAGGGGCACACCCCCAACCACACCTCCAACCACACCCTCTCTCTCATTTGTTACAGTACACCGAGCTCCACATGGGATTATAAAAATTTAAAATCTCATATAGGGCCCGGTGTACTGTAGCAAATGAGAGAAGGGGTATGGTTAGAGGTGTGGTTGGGAGTGTGCCCCTAGTGTCACCTTTAGAGGTAATTAGTATGCTACATGTGCGTTGTTGCACGTGGCTTACTTGGATTTAAAAAATTATTAGTAAATAATATATTTTATATTATTGATTCTTAAATATATACTAACGAATTGATCAATATAATGTTCTCTTGTGGAATACTTCTTTTTAATATATCATGCACGAAAGTTACAAATGCCACTAAAGTAAAAAAATATTAAATAATAAAAATTATCATTAGATATAAAATTACAAAAGCTATAATAGCAAGATGGAATCACAACCGTTATAAAAATATCATCTGAATAGCCCAGTTCATGGGAATTGACTTAAATCCAATAGAGAATCTTAATTAAGAGACAAATTAATATGGATTTTATACCAGAAATCAAAAAATGTTTACAATTTAATCTCATATATATAGGTTTGTGTATTCTAATTTACTCAATGAATAGAAGATAGATAGCCAATATGTAATAGTAATTAATCTTTGTAGCCTAAAGTTGATAGGAACAAAAAACTTATTGATGATTAATCAAAAAGAAGGCAAACAAAGTTTGATGATTCAACATAATTATAAATGAAAAAACAAAAAAGATGCTTAATAGATGTAAGAAAATCAAAAGGCAAGAAACATTAAAATCGTTGGATAAGCTGGTAACACCTTTGAACTTAAAGTGCATAGGAGCCGAGTAATTAGTTAAAAATTAAACCATGCATATATCTAATGAGTAAGAAAGCATAACTTATAACCTATATTCAAAAGAAGCTCTTTACAATATTGTGTTTGTAAGTGTGTGTGTGTGTGTTTGGAGGGGTAGAGGAGCACGCGGGGGCCCGTCACATGCTGGGATCTGTCTTTATTTGCATAAACTCTAAAAATAAGATCATAACTGCATATAAAAACCACTAAATCTACGAGCCATTTAACAAATATTATTCATTGTATGCACACGCACATACATATACAATACATTGTAAACCATTTGAAAAATTTTCTATATAACATATTTCATAAACCATTGTGTTAGTGTAGGAATTTATCTAGTAGGTGATGTGATGGTTGAAAAGAATGGATGATCGTAATTTATAGTATAGAGATGAAAAATAGGTTATGTAAACGGAAAATGAAAGAATAGTTTGTTGATTG